ATATATAACAAGGTCATGGGGTGATAGGACAAGATTAGATAGGAAGAAATTGGAAGAGGGTGTTGAGGAAGGATGTCTATCTACATTAGGATTAGAATATCTATTTAGATCTAGATTACATTGGAAGGAATAGGAAGAGAGTGGTGAGGCCCTGGCACAGGTTGCCCAGAGAAGTTGTGGCTGCCCCATCCCTGGAAGTGTTCAAGGCCAGGTTGGATCAATCTGGGATAGTGGAGGGTGTCCCTGCCCATGGCAGGGGGTGGGACTGGATGAGATTTAAGGTCCCTTCCAACCGAAACCATTCTGGGATTCTATGATTAGAGAGAGACTTAGCAGCTAATTAGCACCAGAAATACAATATAAATATATAAATATGTTATATATAATGGAACATGGCAGAGCCCCAGCTTTGCCCCCAGGATAAGAGTCCATCCCAGCCTGCTCCATGATGGGCTCCCTCAGATCCCAGTTCCCAGCCCACACACACTGGTCCATACTGGTATCTCTCTTCATTATGCCTGAGTTTCTACACCCCAATTTAGAGAGTCCCTGCCGGGGCTGCAGGCTGGGAACCTGCCATGCAAGTGGGAAAAAGGAGGAAAACCAGCCACTCGGGAGGCATTTCCGCAGGCTCCCGGTGGGAGGGTGTGACCCGCCGGCATCTCCCGGCCAGGAGCGGAGCCGGCGGCCCCGGGACGTGGCGCAGAGCTCGGCGGTTCCAGTACAACCAGTTCAACCACCGCGCCAGGTCACCGTCTGCACTTCAAGCACACGCACGTCTGCAACCTGGAAAACAGCGTAAATAAAGCTGCCGTGTTTAACAGAGGGAATAATCAGTAACCTGCTGCTGCTTCCTCCTGGAGCCGACCCGGGGGCTGCTGCATCCCATCGGGGAAGCTCTGCCTTGGTCAGGGACTCGGGAAGAGGAGATCCAGGGTTTGAGGATAACAGGGCTGGGAGAGAAAAGCTCCGGTGGTGTCGTGCAGGTGAGTATTAAAAAAAGCTGAGCAGACATTTAATGTAGCTTTTCAGAATTAGGAGCAGATGGTGAGCGAGGGCTTGTGCCCAAGAATGGGGAAGTGCTGGGAAATCACTCACCAGCGATGATAAAACTCCAAGGAAATCTTCCTACCTGGATATGGGGCCTGATCACAGCTCTGGTGTCCTGGCTGGATGGAGCAGAACCACTTGGTCTGTGCTGCTGGAGGTGTTTGTGGCAGTGTCAGGTCAGGGCAGTGGGAAGCCAAGGACAGGGGCTGCTGTGGGGACAGCTGCAGGGACAATGGCAGAGCAGGATATCCCAAAGGATAACTGCATCAAAGGATGCTCTCGGGCATCCCCTGGGCTGTGCAGGCAAGGACTCAAAGGCACTTCCAGCATTGGCTTCATACACAAGAAGCAGCAGTAGAAGACACCTTCAGGGAAAACACTGAAAATGGGTGAATTAGTGACAGGCACATTCCTGAATTTCAGCAATCCCGAGCAATAAACCAACAGCCTCAGTGGTGGCCCTTGACACCAGCATTTGGGGAGATACCACCATCACCCACACTCTGTGACCTACCCCATCTTAAACCCCACCAACCTCCTGATGATTTATTCAGCTACCTGGTGTATACCAGTTCAGCTCTTTATCACCAAAAATCTAGCCCGGGGAGGCGAGATCTCCTGCTAAAGCCATGGGGTGAGTCAGTGCCAAGGCAGGAAACCTCCCAGACTCACCCCTGTTTGACCTCTCAACCCCACTCCTGACCCACACGTTACCCACCAGTGCACGGCTGTGGCACGGCAGGTAAACACGGCTCAGGTTGTAACATCAGCAGAGACGGTGTCAGGACCAGCACGGCTGGTTTGCACACCAGCAAAGGGGTGTTGGAGTCCAGGGTGCCCCCTCTGTGGGGTACCCCAGCCATCCCACCAACACAACCCCCCGTGCCCTGGCAGGGCGCTGGGATATTTTAGACCTTTCTCGGTCTAAAGTCCTCACGGGGGAAGAGGCGCTCGTGAGCGTCTGCACAACAACGTGCCCGGTTCAAAGTGCACCAGCGCGGCGAGTCACACCTTAAACAAACAGGCACGGGGCGTAGAAACTCGGAGACTGCTCACACGGTGGCAGCAGCGCAGCACCCAGCACAGCGGGGATGCAGCAGGGATGAGGCTGACTGAGGGGGATGCAGCAGGGATGCAACAGGGATGCAGCAGGGATGCAGCAGGGATGAGGCTGACTGAGGGGGATGCAGCAGGGATGCAGCAGGGATGAGGCTGAAGTGAGGGGGATGTAGCAGGGATGCAGCAGGGATGCAGCAGGGATGAGCCTGAAGTGAGGGGGATGCAGGAGGGGTAAGGCTGATATGTGAGGGGGATGCAGGAGGGGTAAGGCTGACATGTGAGGGGGATGCAGCAGGGAGGCAGCAGGGATGAGGCTGAAGTGAGGGGGATGCAGCAGCCAGGGACAGGCTCCTGCAGCCTCCACTGCCAGGGAAATGCAGACTGGGAGTGATAAAGCCACCAAGGAGACCCCCCCTCAGCCCAGGACATCACTCCTAGATCCAGGGAATGAGGTCCCTTTGCTTGCCATGGCTCTGGAGCAGGAGGTGACACCCGTGTCCCCCTCCCCAGGGTCCAGCATGGTCCCCACGGCACTGGGACAAAACTGGTGAACAGCAGAGGCCTTGCCAGGACTGGTGTGACACCCACAGCTCTGCCACATTCCTGGCTCCCAAAGGGCAGAGCTTTTAAAACCACGGATGGGATGGATGCACACCCACATCCCATCCCATACACGAAGGGAAACACCAAATATTTGCAGGGAATTCCTTCAAATGCAGCAAATCCCACCCCTGTCTGTGCCCAGCTCATGTCTGCCGTGCTCAGCAGTTACCCTTTAATGCCACATTTAATTCCCATTAGTGCTGGATTCCAGCTGCTGGAGAGCCAGCTGCCTTCTCCTGAGTTTTTCCTATTTTTCTTTGCTTCAACTCTCTCCATTTCAGACGATGGTGGCTCTTACCTCCTCTGCAGCTTCTCCCAAACCCAGAAGGCTGTTTCTGTTGAAAAAAAAAGAAGAAAAGGTACACCTCTTCATCTGTACCCTCATTATAGGCTCAAAGAACAAGAAAATCATTGCAAGTTGTCTTTGCTCTGGCGAACACAGCAATTGACCCCAAAATGGTGTCAGGCCCCTCTGCAGTGCTGGCACAGCCCTACAAGTGACCAGTGTAATTGAAATAATAATAGGAATAATAATTATTATTTATTATTTATAGTTGCTACTATTATAACTATAGTTATATCTTATTATAATGATTTATCAATATCTAAATTAATATCAATAATTTATCCATTAATAAAAGTTAGAGCACAACATTTTTTTATTTCTCCATCCCTTCTCCTTTTCTTTGTCCTTCTGTAGATGAGGGGGACATCTCCTGGCTGTTCACCCACATTCCCAGATCTTTACTTACCTCAAACCCTTGAAATCCCCATTTTATATGGATGCAGACTGTCCCAGCCTCCTGCCAGGATCACTGCATCCAGTGCTGCCTGGCAGCTGGTCCAGCTTCTCCTGCATTCCCCCATCACCCTGGAGCCCCCCAAATTCACGTGGTAGTCAGGGTGCCCTGCACCCCAACGCCAACACCAGCCCAGGCTCTCCATCTGCCAAGCAACAAAACCACGTGGAGTTCATCTGTACTTTAAAATAAGCTTTATTTAGATCTTTTATAATTTTATATTTGCATCCATGCCTTCAAAGGATTCTCCCCCGCTCACGGGGGGAAAAGTTAAATCTAATGTTACCCATAATTCATATGCTATTTAGCGAAGTTCTCTTTTAAATAAATCATCCTCTTAGTAATTTTTAGAATTATTTCCTAATTTACAAAAAAGCTGAAATGCAAAGGAAACTACTCGGTAACAAGGAGATTGCTCATCTCTTCTGGTGGTTTAGAGTTTAAATTATAAAAATGCAAGGAGAACCAAAAAAAAAAAAAAAAAAAATAGAACAAACCCCCCCCCCCCCAAAAAAAAAGAACAAAATGTATAAAAATGCTTCTCTGCAGAGAAAAGATGCCACGGGGCAAAGCCTGCCCTGCCACCCCAGGAGAGCCTGGGGGGGCTGGTCCCTCTGACACCCCCTCCACGGCCTCTCTGCATTCCACGAGCAGGAATACACGGCGCGAGGGCATCGGCGATTTGAGACAAAACACCCTTTTTTTATCTCAACCAGGGCGCCCGTATCGGAATTAAGAAAAATAATACACTATTATAGTTCATTAAATAAATCTTAATACATTTTTTTTTTTTTTTAAGAGCTTAAAATTATATCATAAGCATTAAAGCATAAGGTACTTATCTTGGCATAAGCAGAGAGCGCGCGGGCGCGTGTTAGTGGAGAGGGGAAGCGGCCGCCGCGCTGGGGGGAGGTGGTTTCGGGGCGTTTCCAAGGGATTTTTTTTGGAAGCACAAGCTCCACCCGTGCTTCAAAATCACCCCAGAGCCAGAAAAACCTCCCCGGCAGGAATTCGTACCGATTTCCCCGTGCCCACCCCCCCCTCCCCCCATGGCGGCGGTAACATCCCAAACTGGAGCGGGGTGGCCGGCCCTGTCTGGGAAACGTCTTGGGATAAGGGATATCTCGGGATATCCCCTTTCCCCTGCTCCCAGCTCATGCCGGATCCCCCTAAATTTTACTTGAAGCAAAGGGTGAGGCCCTCAAAAGCAGGGAAAAACAGCAGGCAAAGCTCCCACCAGCTTCCCCCCCCCCCCGTCGGATTTCCCGGCACGTTTTTAGGTTTGCGTTTTCCAAGGCGTTAAGTGCTCCTGGGGCAGCCGAGGGAGCCCCGGGGTGGGGGGGTCCACGGCTCCGACACCCCCCAATTCCCCCCTTCCCTCCCCAACAGCAGCTTCCCAGGACAATACAGTACAAACACCCCCTTCCTCCTCCCACCCCATCCCAACCGACGTGGAAAAATATAAAAATCCCAAAACTTCTGCAATAATTTAGTTAGAATAGCTCCTCTGGGTTTGTGCAAATAAATTAAAACAACTAAAAAGGAACGTTAAAACACTTATTTCCAGACCGGCAGGCGTTACAACCAGCCCGGGTGCTCGGCCAGGAAGACATCACAGCGAAGGAGATCTTTTGTTGTTGTTTTGTTGTTGTTGTTTTTGTGTGTTTTCCCTCTAAGGTCCCTCAGCTGGGCAGGTCCTTCGTCCCCAGGCGAGGACATCCCGCGGGCTGGGCTCCGGAAAACAGCGGGTTTCGGACAAGAGACGTCACAAGCACAAAGTGCACAATATTTCTGGTATTTACAGAGACACAGCAGTCCTTCAAGTTTCAAGTTTTGTCAAAAGAAGAAAGAGAAAAGAACGACGACGACAAAAAAAAAAAAACAAACAAACAAAACCACCAAACCCAAAACAAAACGAAAAAAACACCCCCCAAAACTGACGAACTGAAGCGACAACAAAAGGAGTCACCGGGATGGGAAAAAAAAAATGAAAAAAAAAACACGGAAAAAGAAAAAAAAAAAAAGGGGAAAAACTGAAGTTACGACACAGCTGCATCGCTCCCAAGACAACAGGTAACACGTCCACAGGTGGGGGATATGTACAGTGGCACCCGCCCGGCACGGGGGGTCACCAGTCCGCGTCCTCCTCGATGTAGTAGTCGGGGGCCGTCCCGTCGAAGAGCCCCGGGTCGAGGGACTTGCGCTGCTTCCCCCGAGCAAACACCCTGGAGATGGAGCCAAAGCCCATCTTCTCTTTCTTCTTTTTCCGTTTTTGGTCTTCCAGGTCCTCTAGAGACTGTGGGAGGAGAGGACGCGGGTTTGGGTATCCAGCTCTTCCTTCACCCCTTCCCACCCGCTCACACCGGGGGTGACGGACCACACGGTCCCAGCTCCAAATAATATTTGAGTCCAAGTCCCGAAAAGTATTTGCATCCAGATCCCCCAAAAAATATTTGCATCCAGGTCCAGAGCAATGTTGTTAAGGTGCTGGACCGAAATAAAATAATATTCCTGAAATTTGTGTGGTGGAATTTGCAGCAAAATTGGAACAGCTCCCCCCTCCCCCCCCCGCCCCAATTTCTGGGATTTTGGTTTAACTCAACTGGTTCAGGATTTTGGCTCCAGGAATAGGTCAGAACAAGGGTCTGTCCACAGCTTGAAAAAATATCCCAAGGGTTTAGGGTCAAAACCAGAAGAATAACCTGCTTTGCCTGTGCCTTACAAAAATCAAGACCCCAAAGGGCCCTGAGCACAGCAAATGCCTAAGGCATTACATGGATTTTGGGGCAAATTATAGGAATCTGAGACATCAAAGACTCACAATTTGAGATGACTTCAATTAATTTTTTGAAAGACCCCAAAGTGGTGCCTCTGAGCCCTCCCAAAGTGTTTTCTAGCACAGGAGGGGGTTCTCACAAGCAGGATTTGAGAGCATTTGTGCCCTACCTGTACGATTGGGTTGTGCAAGTTCTTCTGTACCGGTCCAGGACTGTCCCCCTGTGGCAGAAAGAGACGGATCCATTGGATCAGCCCCAACATAGCCCGAGACCTCCCACTTCCATGGCAAAAAGCAGCTTGTTTGGGCAGCTGAACTGCGGGTGGGGCTTGGATAAAACCCCAGGAAAGCACCTTTCGGGGTCAGCAGAGCTCCAGGTTGCCCCACACCCCAAACCCAACGTTCTGGGAAGCGGAGGACCCGCAGAACCCCCAGAGCCCGTTCCTGGGGCAGCAAGCCCCCCAGCCCACAGTGCCTTACGTTGCAGAGCGAGTGTGTTCGATGCCGGGGGGAGTTGATGTCACTTGGCGTGGACGACCGGTCGCCCTCGGCCGCGGAGGCGTCGGAGATGATGGACGGCTGCCGGGAATGGCAGGGGCTCACTCTGACCGCTGGAAGGCAGGGAGGGACACGGGGAGTTAAAATCACGCCAGCGAACCCGGCAGAGCCTCTAATTCACGCCTAAAAAAAACTATTTAGGGAGGGGTTTACCCGTTTTTTTCCTCCCCGTAAGGGGGTTTGGCAATAAGGACCTGCCCACCTTGCCGGTCCGCCGAGTGCTGGGGGTGTGAGTGGTAGAGGGTCTGCTGGCTCTGCCGGATGGCGGCGGTCAGCGGGAGGTCAGCCTGCATCACCCACTCCTGGTTCCCGTTCAGCACCGTCTCGCCCGGCATGGCCAAGGAATGGCGCTTGGGGACGTCCTTGGTCAGCGTGGCCAGGGATTGCTTGGCCTGGGGGAGGACACCAAGGTGATGGTGATGGAGCAGGAAAACCGTATGAACGTCTCCTGGAGCAGCAGAACAAGCAGCAACACATTGCACCCAACCCACTCACCCCTGGGCAAGTAAATACTGAACTGTGCTGTAACCTGTGCTAGGGATCACAGAATATGCTGAGTTGGAAGGGATCCATCAGGATCATTGAGTCCAACTCCTGGCCCTGTGCAGGACACCCCAACAATCCCACCACGTGCCTGAGAGTATTGTCCAAACACTTCTTCAACTCAGACAGTCCTGGTGCTGTGACCACTTCCCTGGGGAGCCTGTTCCAGTGCTCAGCCACCCTCTGGGTGAAAAACATTTTCCTCATATCCAACCTAAACCTCCCCCAACTCAACTCCAGCCGTTTTGAGTCCTGTCACTGGTCACAAGAGAGAAGAAATGGGTACCTGCACCTGCACTGCCCCTCAGGAGGATGCTGAAGACTACAATGATGTCTCCCCTCAGCCTCCCCCTCTCCAGGCTGAACAAACCAATTACCCTCAGCGGTTCCTCATAAGGCTTCCCCTCCAAACCCTTCCCCATCCTCCTGGCTCTCCTTTAGATGCTATCTAGTAATGTCTTTTCTATACTGTGGTGCCCAAAGCTGCACACAGAACTCAAGGTGAGGGACTCAAGGGGAGGGACTCAAGGTGAGTCCATCTTTCTAGCGATGGAATTTTTTCCTCCCCAGTATTGCAGGAATGCAGCCACTGCAGCAACCCCTCAGGTTTGCATCAGTCCCCCAGCTCACCATGGCCAGCTCGGCCTCCAGCTCCTTCATGCGGTTGTCTTTCAGGTCGAGCTGGGAGCGCAGGGCACTGGCGTGGTCCGTCGCCTCCTTGGCCTGTCGCCGCAGCTCCCACTTCTCCCGCTCCAGGAGGTCCTTCTCCTTCGCCAGGGCTTTCACTGCGTCCTCGCTCTCCTGCCAGGACACGGGGTGGCCATCAGGAAGGGAAAATCCACGTGCTAACACAAGCCCCTCTGCAATGACCCTCTCAGGGACCACCCAGCCACGAGCGGTACCTTTGGGGTCACGAGAGCCCCGTGCTGGCAGGGATGGCACCCCTTTTTGGGGAGCACCAGGATGCAGCCAGTCTCCCAAAAAGCAATGCTCACTGAGCACCTTGTTAAAATTACACGGGATTTCGCATGTCTGGCTCCATTCCCTCTAGTATTTCACAGAATCACAGAATATTCTGAGTTGGAAGGGACCCACACGGATCATTGAGTCCAACTCTTAAGGTCATACTGGGATCAAACCCACAACCTTGGTGTTATTAGCACTGTGCTCTAACTGAGCTAATCTCAAGCTTAACCTGCCGTGGTCCACCCCAGCCCCAGCAAGAGCCCAGCTGGGATTTTAGAGGGTTTTGGCCTGATTACAAACCAGGTTTCACACTCAACTCGCTGCCAGCCCCCTGTGCCACGAGACCATGGTGCTGGGCTCCCACACTCACTTTCCTGTGCTGCTCGTAGTTGCGGATGAAGTCCCGGAGCTGCTCCTCCCGGCTCTCCAGCGTGGCGTACAGCTGCTGCATCTGGCTCACCAGGTCTGTCTTCTCCCCCTTCAAGCGCTTGCGGTCGGCTTTCATGGCTGTGGGAGAGAGGATGGATTGAGCACGGAGGGCACAGCAGCCCCTTGCTTCCACATCTTTTATTTTTTAAGGCAAGGAAGGATATTGAGGGGCTGGAGCAGGTCCAGAGGAGGGCAACGAGGCTGGGGAAGGGACTGGAGCACAAGTGCTGTGAGGAGAGGCTGAGGGAGCTGGGGGGGCTCAGCCTGGAGAAGAGGAGGCTCAGGGGAGACCTCCTCACTCTCTGCAACTCCCTGACAGGAGGGGGGAGCCAGGGGGGGGTTGGTCTCTTTTCCCAGGTAACTCTCAGCAAGACAAGAGGGCTGGGTCTCAAGCTGTGCCAGGGGAGGTTTAGGTTAGATATTAGAAAGAATTTCTTTCCAGAGAGGGTGCTCAGCCATTGGAATGGGCTGCCCAGGGAGGTGGTGGATTCTCTGTCCCGGGAGACTTTTAAAAAGAGACTGGATGTGGCATCAGTGCCATGGGCTGGGAACCACAGCAGTAGTGGATCAAGGGTTGGACTTGATGATCTCGGAGGTCCCTTCCAACCCAGCTGATTCTATGATTCTATGAAAAAGTACCAAAAGTACGATCCCAGGGGCTGGGCTGGGAGAAGACACCTAATTCACCCCAATCACTGCAGCCCCAGAACACCCATCGTGTCGCCACCATGGCTCCTCATCATCGACCCCCCTTCCAAGGGGCAGCTCAGCCCCCTGGAAAAGGAGATTCCGGAGCAAAACTGCTGCCTCAGCCTCAGGGCCCGGCACAGGAAAACCTGCTGCTCCCTTCCCAGGATAAATAAACCACAGCCCGGTTATTTTTAGCTGCGGGGCGGATTCCGGCAGCGCTCCCACGAGCCCAGGGCACAGCTCCCCGAGCGTCCCCTTCCAGCTCAATGATGCTGTGTTGGGATGAGGGGAAAGAGCAGGAGCGCCACAGGATGCAATGGAGTGTTTCAACAGCACTGAGAGGAACCCAAAACCTTCCAGTTTTCCCTCTCCCAGTCACCAGCGAGGGATGCTCGTCGACCACCGACACCGGGACAGTGGCGGAAGGCTGGTAATCCAGGGGGAATTACAGAAGTATGAGGTAGGAGAAGGACTTTCAGTCATTTCTGTACATTATTGCTTTACCCAACCTTGAACTTGGTCCTTGGCAGCACTGCAGAAATGCCCTGTAGCTCCCTGCTCCAGATACACCCCCTCCCCCCCGAAATAATACCCAGTTTAGGGATCAGAATACAAATATTGCTTTTTATTATACATTCATGCTTTTCAACCCTGAGGAAGTGCTGTTCCTAAGGGAGCAGGATGGTATGAAACACGATCTGCCCCTCCAACACTCCCTGCACTCACTGTGATCAGCTGAGTCTTGCAAGCTGCCCCTCTATAATAAAAAAAAAATATCCTAAACCCCCTTGAACTCACCAGAAAAACCAGCCCCGAAGCTCCAGGAGCTGCCTGCACTACAAAAACCACTAGAAGATGATGCAGCATCACAAGTGGGACCTGTCTCCATGCACACATCCCATCTTTTTCCATTAGATTACAGAAATCCACGGTGGGCGTTTCAGCCCACGCTGTGTTTTCTACACCCTGTGATGAGTCACTTCACTGGGGGCTTAAACCACAGCCCAGCGTGTCTCCCTGGTGAGGCACGTGTGGGATAAAGACAATATACACGAAATACCAGGAAACCACGACCCTGTCATGCTTCAAAGGGATTGATTTGCCTCAGGCATCTTTGGCACCCTTGGTTTGGTGCCTCTGCCTTGTGCCAGCACAGGGATGTTCTGCTCCCACCCTCCTCTGCTTGGGGACCCTCAGTAAGTCATTTCCACCTGTGTGCAAGCAGGGAGAGCATCATTACCAGACAGGCACTGCAGCCCCCAGGCACCCTCAGGCAGAATAAGCTGATAACACTGATCACCCAGCCCTGACATGTGCTGGAATAGCCCCCAAAATAAGAGCAGCCCCTCCACTCACCCAGCTCTGTGCACCTCCTGCATCCCACCCCAGCTTGTCACAATCACCAGCTCAGAGAGTTTCACTCAGGTAGGAACTTCCTTCTGTGCACTGGTTTTATTCTACTTTTTTACTGTTTTTTTACTGTAAGTGTGTGCTGAGGATAAAGAAAGTGCTCAGGATGGAACCATGAGGAAAGGGAGAGGGCTTGCAGATCAGAGGATAAAAAGGTGGGAAAAATTATTAAATCAGACTAAATAGCAGAAGAAGAGGGAGATGTCCGGGACAACAGAGATTTTTATCTGTTAGAAACCAAGAGATGAAACTCTTCAGACAAACTACTCTGCCGTTAAGCATCAGAGGTAAAACAAAACACAGAAAACCAGGTAGGAGATGTCACAAAAATTCATATTGTCCCATAACAGGGAGCTCCTGGGAGTCTTCTACACTCACTTCAGTGAACACAGCTCCTCCTGGGACAACTCAGCCCCTTCTGACACCGGGACTTCCCTTACTTTTATTCCCAGCTTAAGAAATCACTACAGAAACCCTCTAAAAACAATCACAACCACGTCTAAGTCTTTGAAAAAGCCCTTTCCTGCTGCCTGTGTGTATTTAACCACAACCTTCCTCTGCCCAGTTCTTTCACTGGAACTAAAAACTTGCTGAAAAAGAAAAATTAACGATGAGTTGACTGAGCCATACCGAGGTGAGATCCAGACCCCACAGACACATATTCACATATATTTAATTTCCTCGAGGATAATGAGAGGCTCTTATAAAAGTTTAAGTCACATTTGCCACTTTGATGCTGGAGGTGACAAAAGATTCCCAACAAATTTAATTAAATAGTGAGTCCCCCATAGCATACAGATTCCTTTAATTAGTGGCAGCATTCAGGGCCTTTAAAGATTTACAGAAAACACTTCTTCACTCACCCATAAAAAAAATAAAGGTGCTCATAAGTACTATTAGGAGAAGGGTAACTATCTCCCAAGGTTGCATATATATCAACTTACTAATATTTACCAATATTTATGCCAATGCATCAGTACTGCAAGAAGATTATGAAGTTTGGGTATTGTAAGAGTAGATTTTTTTTCTGTTAACCCAACAGGACAATTTGCCATTTGTTTCAGTTCACATTTGAGAGATTTGCTAAAATTAACACACTTTTTTTTTCCTCCCCTCTATTACTCTCCCTCCTCCAAAACCGATTAGCTCCTAAGCTTAAAGAAGATTTATCAGTCATTTGAGAACTTCATTCCAAACCAAATTAATGGGAAATTAATTGAAAAAGGCAGGAGAAAAATAAAAAGTGAGGCAGAAGTGAGCCACGAGGGCTGCCAGGAGCTCCTGGACCAAACCCCACTTGCTGCAGCAGCTTAATTCCTCCCCAGCAAACAAGCCCAGCTAATTACTCGGTCGGGGAAAACGAGCCTTTGCAATCCACGGCGCGACGGCAGGGCCAGCCAAGGAGGAATAAAGCAGATTTTCACTGGCTATCTGGGCCATCCAAGGAGGTGAAATGGCTTTTTCCTTTAATCTGATGATCCAGGGCGAGCTTTCTATATCCCAACCCCCCCCCCACGAATATCCAAATAAACTCCCGCCCAGCTCATCGGCGCGGGGGGCTCTGGCCAAACCTCTGACCTGTTCATAAGACAAGAAGCAAGAAATCCTAAACCCAGACCATGAGTGGAAAGTAATTCTCTTATTTGCATTATTTATTTTCCCCTCCTACCCACGGCACATGGCAGAAGGAGAGGGGGGGACCCACCAGCCCCCTCTGGACTCGGCAGCTCAGCACCGGCCTCGGCAGCAAGGGATGGGGGAGATGGGCTGGGTGAACCCCTCAGCTCTCATTCCACCCCCCTATCCCCACCTGCACAAGTCACCCTGTGTTATTTGAGCTTCCACCTCCTGCCACATGATCCATCCCCTGAGCACTGGTCCTCTGGGAGAAGGATGATGGACACAGAGACGTAACGGGACCAGCTCTGCGCTGGGCTCTTCCTGCTGCCAAAACAATTAAAAATCCACCCCCTCAGTGCCTTTTATTTCCAGCTCTACGTGATGAGCCAAAATCCAGCTGCTCCACAGGAGTGGCACAGCCTTGTCTGAGGCAGCAGCACGGATGGAACCACCCAGTGATGCCACCACTGATGGTTGCTGCTACTACGTGGCCCCAGTCTGGCCTCACCATCTAACAACTTCCAGCTGGGAATTAGCTCCTGCATCCTAAAACCAGGCACCTCCCCTCGGGATGGGGGCTGCTATAAATACCACCCCTCCCCTTTGAAATTAATAATATCAAATTAAGGGAAAATAAATGATAGAATATCCTGAGTGGGAAGGGACCCACACGGATCACTGATGTCCAACTCCTGGCCATGTCAGGTGATGGTGGCCACACCATCCAGATGAGCTTTTGGAGGACATAATAATTAGTTTTATTACCTTGATATTACATGATATTAGATGAAAAACATAGAAACATCATCTCTGCCCAGCTTCACATTCCTGGAATGAGGCAGCAGAGCCCAAACACACATCAGGGCACTGGCAGCAGATGCAGCCTTGCCTCTGACCCTCCAAAGAGCAGCTTCCCATGACTCCCATCCACTTCCAAGCCCTTCTCTCGCCCCATACAATGTGAATCAGAGCTTCCTTTATCACTTACTGAATCATACCCTGAATTTTGTAACGCAGCAAAGGGCATCCTCAGGGAGCACCGCTCAAACCTCAGCGATGCCCCGCGCAACAGGGTCGTGTAAACCCATCCTGTCCCATTAACATTCACTTAATTTCTCCTGTTTCTCCCTCCCAACCGTGAAATTCAATATTGTCACCATGACTAACCCATAAAATCGGTCAGCCCTGTGCAGGGATCTCAGAGCTGTTCCTTGCTTTGTACCTAAATCGTTCGCTCCTTGGGTGCAGCCGTCACGTCAGGAAGATCTTGACGTTGAAGATGTCAGTGTTACGTGGTGTCAGGCAGAGCCAGCACTCACTCCTGGGGGTGCAGAGGCATGGAGCAGGCAGGAAATTAGAGTCCAAAGTCAAATTTCAGGAAAAAGCTAGGAGAGGCGTTTCACCTTCGGGAATTTACCTGGAAACACCCTGCTACGAGGCCAAGGGCTTTCCAAACCTGACCCCAAGGGCCAACAAGGTGACCAATGACTTCTGAAAATTTAAGGTGGGTCTTCAAAAGAGAACAACAGGTTTTCTGTACAGAGCTCCATGGCCTTATGATGGAAAAGGTTTCCCTGCTTGGGTCCATGGCTGGAACATCCATCTGTCAGAACATCTATTCCCTGGGACACCCGTCTTCCAGGACATCCATCTTCTGGGACACCCATCCACCCATTTCTCTGCTACCCACCCCATCACTGCAGCAATCTGAGGGTGCTGTGAGTTCCTCCAGGAGGTTCTTCCCAGCCCAAACACCACCCCTGGGAAGGTCACAGCTCCAAGATATGGGTTTGGGAGGGAGGAGACCAGGCTATCACCTGTTTGTGGAGCAGACACAAAGTCAGTTCACACCTTCCCGAGCAGCAGGGAAAGGTAGCCTGAGGTTTCCACTTTGGCACTCAGAAAGGAAACAGAAACCAGGTTTGCTCTCTGCATGATAATCCTGCAGGCGAGTTCCAGCATATGGGATAAACCTTCCTAGAAATGGGGTTTCTGCCATTAGCCCACATGCTCATGGATGTCACCTGGCCAAGAGGCTCCTCGAGCCCCCCAGGCGCTCGGGCACCGTCCCTGCCCACAGCAGGACCAGCAGTAATAAAGCTGTCTGCAACTTCTCCCTTTGGGGATTCCCACATCAGAAATCCAGACCACATCCATAACTTTCCAGCCAGGGCTGGGGAAATAATAATAACTGCACTGATGCTGGAAGCACGATTCAGAGTCCCAGTCCCGGCAAAGGAGGAGGGGGACATAGGATGTAGCACTGTGGAATTTTAATTAGATGTTAATTGATTTTAAAAAAAGTGCAAGGGCTGGAATTAGCCCAGGAAAAAGTGGAATAACGATGGATAAAGCACATGCTGCCAGGGATACAGAAATTGGTCGAGTTAATCCTGCAGAGCATCCTGTGCTGGGCCAGATCCCTCCCTCCCTCCGCGGCAAGGGCTTGGTAACACGGCACAGGGAAGATGCCGCACGGTCTGATCAGCTCTATCCCTGTGCCAAATGCTGTTTGGAAAGGGCTGGGAATGCACCTCCAAAGGGGGACCCTCCACCCAGACCATCACAAACCAAACCCTGTGAGGCCCCGCAAAATAAAGGCTCTCAAAAGGTGCTGCAGCCCCCAAAAGCAAACCCCACTGGCAAACCCCCCCACGGCACGGCCCGGCGAGCCAAGATCCATCTGAACCAGCTGTGCTGCACTTCCAGGCCCCGAGCCAGCACCGATGACAGCTTTCCATAGAATCCATCTGCTAACGACATTCCGCAGGACCCAGCGTGGATCGCGGGACGCTGCAGGCGCAGGGATGGTGCGGCCGACGCTGCCGGACGCGGGGCTGTGTAGGGATGCAGGGAGGCAGGGATGATGGGAGGCAGGGATGCAGGGAGGCAGGAATGCAGGCTGTGAGCGGGAAGCTGCTCTTGGGAGGTGCTTTCTGCCCACAGAACACAACTGTCACAGATCCCTGAACTACAGGACAGCACGGCCAAGTTTCCCTGCGCTCCTGGCTCTGGTTTATCCCACAGTTCCTTAACACAGAGCCACCACTTCCTCAGTGTGTCCATCAGCAGATGCATTTCTCCTGGCAGAACCAGTCACCAGGTGCCGGTTTTCCTCCCCTTTTGGCTACGTTTCTCTACAGACAATTTTTCATGGAAAGGAAAAAGGACTTTTTTTTCCCCCTCCAGCTGCTGATCCCGTTTTCACTTTATCCGTCCCAGTCACCGTGCCAAACCTGCTCTGCTGCCCAGCGCCTCCAGCCCAGATCCAGCCCAGCCAGCTTTTCCAAACGACTCAAAAAGCCTCCCAGTATTGCAGAGGAGGGAAGAAGCATCGACTGAAAAAGGCTTCACGCAATGTGCCTTTCCAAGTGCCAGCTGACATTCCCTCTCCCTAGGCACCACACCTGCAGAGAAGTCCTGGAAAACCAACCCCAGGGGCTCCAACTGTGGCAAATAAAAGCCCAATAAAAAACCCCAACATTATATTATTTAAATATTTAAATTGTTATTTAAATAATCACGGTTTTCAAGCCAAATTAACTTTTTCTCCTCCACAGAAGCTCGCATGACCTCACCGCAGCTTCTTAGATGACTTCTTGCTCTTATTTCTTTTTTGCACATGTATTACAATAGTTCTGCTTTTCTGCATTTTGCATTAATCAGCAGTTCCCCTTCCACACACAGAGAGCAAATATTCCCTAATTAAGGTTTTTCTCCTCCAATTACAGTTCTATAAACCCAGAGCATTTCCTGCTGCCGGAGGCTGCACCGCTGGCGTCGGGGGAGGCAGGATTTTGAAGGTATTTTGGCTGCTACTGATACATGGGGATGCTTTGGTAAATCAGACAGCGATCACATAAAATTTTCTGAACTCCCTTCCCCAAACACTGACTCAGCCCAATTCCCTGCCTTTCCGAGCATCTCGGCATCCCGGACAGGGGGAGATGTGGTGGCCCCCTGAGCTCCCCACGTGCTGCTCAGCCTCTGAGCCTGAGAACTTCTGACAGCTTCTCCTCATAATCCGCAAACATGAGCTGACAAGTGCAAGTTATACTCGGTATGTTGGGGATTTGAGATGATATTTAGAGCCACGGCGCTGCCAGGGTTTGACGTGTGAGAGCTTTCCCTGCTCAGGATCGTCCCCCGGCTCCAGCTAACAAACCATCCTGCCCGGATTTATTGTCAGCTCGTTTTTGGGGTGGAAAAGCTGCAATGTTGCGTTTTGCTCTGCACAGCCCAGTCCCGGGGCTTGCTGTGCTGGTGAGGGAAGGAGAGCATGGCCCTGACTGCCATGAAAACATCCAAACCAGGCATGGAGGAAGGAGGAGACCCTGCACATCACCTGGAGGTAACTCCACGCGGGATAAGGAAAATTGCAGTCACCAGGAAACTCACTGCTTCCCTAACAAGTCTGAGGGGCTCAAATCCAACCCACCCCCACCTCCAGCTGCATTTCAGCTGCTGCCCTGGCTCTGCTCTACAGCTGTGAAGGAATTCCTTTGCAATGCTGCAAACAGCCCCCACACCCCATTTCCCAGCCCATCACTGCACCCCAGTCCCTCTTGGCCCCACACCCCTCCTTGCAGGGGCAGGAGATCAGGGGGGTCCCAGGGAGACCAAACCCCCCCAAGTGCACATGGCGAGCGCACTCTGCGCAGCCCAAACGAAAAGGATGGCTTTCCCTTCCCTCATTAAACAACTCCTTGAAAGTTTAGGGTGCTGGGGAGAGGTGCAGGAGAAGAAGGAGGCGCAGCCTTACCCTGCAGAGCCTCCTTGGCACGTGCCAGCTCCTGCTCCTTCTGGGCCAGCTGCACCTTCAGCTCGGTGGCCGAGAGCACCTCCGGGGACTTGCTGCCGTGCGTCTCCTCCAGGTCCTTGGTCAGCATTTCCTTCATTTGCCGGAGCAGGTGGACCTCCTCCTGCAGCTGGGCCACCTCCTCCCGCAGCAGCGCTGGAGGAAGAGGAGACACAATGCGAGGAAGTGAGTGACGGCTCCCGGCACAGCCCCCGCTGGAAACTCAAACCCCAGGGAAACGCCGCTGGGGTGACCCCTCCCCGCCGGCAAAACTGCTCTGCACAAAGCCCAAACCCGGCGTTATTCTGGGAACAGAGGAGGAGGGTGAGGGATGACACGGGAAGGCGCCGGGAGGGAGGGGGAAGTCTCCACTGGGTGCTGCTTTTGCATTAAAAAATTAAAAATAAATGTTAATGTAAGGATAATAAACAAAGAAGCACTTTTCCATGCAAAGCACTCACTGACAGGGTGCTCACATGGCTGGGATCCAACAGAGCCTCCTGAGCTCCAGTAAGTCCCACACACCTCAGCTCTGCCACCCACGTGCTCAGGGCACACTCAACAAAGCCCAACAAACCCACTATGAGACAGGAAAAGGGAAGACGACACTTCCACATGCAGACCTGAACCCTGAATTTTGCAGATTTACACCCAGTGACTGCTCACTCCTCCGAGCAGCTGCACTGCAGGAGCATCCCAGCAGATCCCAGCCTGGATCCCCTCCACAACAGGCGCTGGAGGAAAGCTCCAGACATGTCTTTTCCTACAGCCACATCCACTGTTTAATGTAATAATAACGCCATTTCTACATTGCACCCATCGCCCTCATCCTGCAAAACACTTTGGGGCTGTGTGTGCACCCCTGCAATCCTCCAGCCAAGTTTGGTTTGCTTTCCTTCCCCTTTGAAAAACAAGCAGAGAAAAGCCCTTACTTACCCCAAAGTAGCTTATTGATTTCACAGAATCACAGAATGGTTTGGGTTGGAAGGGACCTTAAAGACAAGCATGTCCAACCCTCCTGCCATGGGCAGGGACACCTTCCACTAGACCAGGTTGCTCCAAGCCCTGTCCAACCCAGCCTTGAACACTTCCAGGGATGGGACATCCACATCCTCTCAGGTTTGCACCGTGCCCATGGACACGGGGAGAAGAAAATACCCACCTCGACACACACTCCACAGTCACAAGAAATATTAAATAAAAATTAAAACCACGCGCCTCCCTCCAAGCTACCACAACTGGGTCCTCTCCCCAGTGTCCCTGTGTAGCAGCCAGCCCAGGGGACACCAACTGGGCGTGGAATATCGGGGTTTTTTTCCCCCTTATTTGTCCCTGGGTCCCTCTGCACGTGTGCTGCCCGCTCCGCTTCCCTTCCGGCACCGCTGGCGGAGCGAGGCCGGGAGGTGACGCCGGCGGCAGGACAGGGAGAGGCGGCTCCTCCCCGGCAGCTGCGCCAGGAAGGCATAAAATCTGGTTCACATACTTGAAATGCTTCCCGAATGAAAACTGGCAAGGCCCCATTCTGTAAATTATTCAGCAATAAAGTCACTAACGAGGAACAGCCGAGCCCCGGGCCGGGGGGTTTGGTGCAGCCCAAAGTGCTTTCTTGAAATCCGTGCAAAAGAGAGGCAGCCAAGGCCAACAGGATCTTCCCCAGGGATGGCAGAAATGTCCCCTCCAGCCTCTGGGAACCCGGAGAGGATGTGAAGGGCTCGTACACGGTGGAATATTTACTGTGTAACACTCACCCTGTGCCTTCCCCGGACACAGAAAGTCCCATAAAACACCCCCGGCTGCAACAAATTGCTCATTTTTTTCCCCCACTGGTAACTCATTTCCACCTTTCCTTACATGCCACTTCACCCAGGAGGCACAGAGGGGTATTCCCAGGAAAAAATCAACCAGCATAGGAGGATGGGGCAGGGCAGCTTGCACTGGAAATTGGATTCCTGGAAATTGCAGCATTTTGGTGGGAACCAAGAAAATCCCCACATGGCAGGGACCCCTCTCAGGAAGGGAGAGGGGAAACAAGACCAAGAACAGGCAGTCCAGGGGGGAATTCTGCAGCAGAGACTCCCAGAGGGGTCCTTGGGCCCCAAAACTCCTTGCTATAACACACTGTACAGTGCAGTCTGCCAGAACTGCACCATTCCCCTCTGGTCCCAGTTAGAAAATAGTGAAGAAACCCCAAAGCATCCATCCTCCAAAGCAGGCAACAAGGGAATTTCATCCCCAACTTCATGCTCAGCTCCCACTCCCAGTAGAAACTGCTGAAGGATTAGAATCCAAGATCTGTGGGAAGCTGTAAATGCAATCTGGAGAAGAGCATGAGGCACCACGCTCCCCATGCCACCAGCTGCAAGCCAAAGTCTATGGAGAACATGAATTATTGAACCTGGGATCAGCCATATATCCTAAATTCTTACTTTTTTATAGATATAATTTGAGATATACATATCTGTACAAAAATGGATTATGCTTTGCAATGTAGTTATTTTTTATATATATATAAAATTATTTATATGGCAAAGCCAAATCAGTTTTGAATATATATATCTTTATATATATATAAAATTGGAAAGTACAATCCATGCAGCCAAGGCTTGAAAGGAAAGTTCCTCTTTCTAACTCCCTCCCAGGGCTGCTACCAACATCACAGAACCCCAGAATGGTTTGGGTTGGAAGGGACCTTAAAGACCATCCAGTTCTGCCCCCTGCTATGGGCAGGGACACCTTCCACTAGCCCAGGTTGCTCCAAGCCCTGGCCAACCTGGCCTTGGACACTTCCAGGGATGGGGCAGCCACAGCTTCTCTGGGCAACCTGTGCCAGGGCCTCCCCACCCTCCCAGGGAGGAATTTCTTCCCAATATCCCCATCTGACCCTTCCCTCTCTCAGTGTGAAGCCATTCCCCCTTGGCCTGTCACTCCATGTCCTTGTCAGAATTCTCTTTCCAGCTTCTGCACTTTTGCAAGAGGGGGGTCCCAAGCTGGGGAGCTACTTAACAATCAGAGATGCTCTTTAAAATACAAACTCAACTCATCTCTAGGTCTTTAATTCTTATTTTCTTCTAGTAATGTTCTTTACAACCCTTCCATTTCCCGTTTCAGGACAGAGGTGTATGTAGATGTGTATTTATCCTGCTGACATCCTGGATAAAATCACCCCCTTGACTCGTGCCCAGCAAAGCAAAAACCATCTCACCGGTAAACTCACAAAAGCGGCACAAAATGCAGCTTTCACCTGAGACAGTAATTTACCAACATGAGCCTCGTCGTTTGTACTGCATCCATCTTTCATACGTCCCCTCTGTGTACAGCAATCGTGTCAGCTGAGTTACACAGGGAAAAAAAGGCTTTTAAATGGATGTCTTTAAAGTGATGCCTGTTCTAAGGCCAGCAAAAAGCTTTGCTGCTGCAGAGAGAGAGTGGATCTGCTGCCCAGAGGAGGCCAAGATGGGATTTGCAGGAGCAGGAGTGGAAACTTCAGCCCCAAATGCTGTCTGGAGGTGTTCACCACAATCATGAAAACTCCAAAAAATCTGATTTGTGCTGTCTGTTAACACCAATCAGTGGCTGAAGCATAAAGGATGCAGAATCCAGCAGTGTCATAGAAGTTTAATGCTATCAACTGAAATATAATTAACAGCCAATTATTTCGGCAGGAATGGTAGTTTTCATCAATTATTCTGGGAAATGTTTAAATTACATTAATTTCATTGCTGCCTGCTTGCAGCAGATTTGGAAGGGGTTGGAATGACTGATGGGGCTTGTCCAAGTGAGGCAATGCCTCCTTCTTCCCTGGGTGGTCAGGAATTACAGTAAGCACCCAATTCCCCCCAAATAAAGGTTAAGAAGAGAAGGGGATAAGCACAAGGGCCTGCAATGTGTCCATCACCACTTCAGTGCAGTCCTGCTGCTGTGCATCCCCGGCACATCCCCTGGAACATCTCCTGCAGCAGAGGTGCCCCCTATGACTTCAGAGGAGCTGTTGGCCACCAGTGCTCCCTTCTGGATGGGCACCAGGGTGCTCAGCAGAGCTTCTTGGGCTAAAAACGTGGATTTTTGCTCCACACATCCATCTTTTACTTTTAAAGAAGCTTTTAATACCACCCCCTGCTGCTGCCGCGGCGCTGCAAGCGAGCGAGCTGTCACACCTGGACACGGGTACAGACACTCCTTAGCGATTTTGGGTTAAAGCTTCCACCCAGTGAGAGCAAATCCTTGCAAACACCATTTCAGAGCACTTCCTGAGTTAGACACCAGCTTGGCCTTGGCACTTCCACATGGTCACAGCTCCGGGAGAGGACCCCCGGTCATGAGCCCCGACCTCGCACCATCAACCGGTGCTCGCACCGATGGGGCAGGACATGCAGAGACCACCTGCTTGCCAAGTTACCCCCTGTTTCCTGGCACTCCCCACCTTCAAAAATAATGATTATTTTCACCACGCAGAGTCCTACTCTCTCGTCTGCCCTGGCCACATGCTGGTGGGATGTAATAAAACCTGATATAAACCCCTGTGCCGGCAGGAGGGGTGGGGGGGCAGCGGGGTTCGGGAGGCACAGGGGTTCGGGGCCAGGCTGGGGGTTGAGAAAGGCTTCCAGAAGCACACACCATACGACACCACCGGCCGGTGGGCTAAGACCCCCGCGGCAGCCCCCGCAGCCGGCCGGGAGCCCTCCGCCAGCTCCCGGCTCGCTCCAACTTCTCCGCGACACAAAATGGACAACGGGGCACCGGGACCCGCCCGCCCCGACCCTCCCCAAGGCCACGGGGGCACGAAGCCCCTCGCCCCTGCCCCTCTCTCGCCGTGGGGCGTGGGGACAGCACGGCCACCCCCCGCCACCTCCCCGCGGCCCCGGGCAGCTCCCAGGCGTTGTTTTGTTTCTCCCAGGAGGAAGCGAGCTCCAAGCACAAAGCGAGCGAGGGAAAGCCGTGCACGCCGGGCTGCGTCCTCCCCCACGCCGGGGACCCCCCCCCCCCCGGGGGACCCCCTTACCTGCGTGGGCTAAGCAGGGGCACAGCACCCTGCCCCGAGCATCGTCGCCGGCCGCCCCTCGCCGCCCGCGGGGACAATGGGCCGGGCGCGGAGCGGAGCCCTGCTCGCAGCGGCAGCTCCCCGGCTTGTTCTCCTCCTGCTCCGACCTCATGGCGGG